TCGAAGAGGGAGCCGAAGGTGCAGAAAGAAGCTCAACCGTGTAAAAGCTCGCCAGGGAGATTGACGAGAACTCGGTCACTTTAACCCCTTTTTCTGTTTTAACTGCACAGAAAACTTCTTTGAGGAGCATCCGACCATTATTCAACCGTTAGTCGGATTACGATTTGAACTTTTATCGTTCTCCAAGTACAATTATACCTCGTCAAGGTAATCGTTGCGATTTTAGAGATTTCAATGAAGGATGGATATAAAGACGTATAAATTTGGTAAAAGAACATTATTTTAATTAACATTTTTTTATAAAAGACAATTTATAACAGACAATTTAAGAGTTTCGTGTAGAAGGCGTGGAAAAATTATTTTTCAAAACACGTTTACAAAAAAAAATAATTTGTTGTCAATGTCGAATAGTTTGAAAGTATTATGGGAGAAGTTTTTGAAATACATTATAAATATATTTATATATTTATAATATTATATTTATATACTTGTCAATCCGACATTGACAATAAATTAATATACCGTAAAACGATGAATTTATACAAAGGAACAAATAAATTTTACAATTACACAGAATTTATTTATATAAACAATATTTTATACGAATTTTACAATTTTGCAATATTTTACTACATATTATTTATATTATTTTACCACAAATATTGTTAAGAATTTTCAAATTTAAGTTCCTGAGAAACGAAGCCTCGTAACTGAAAAACAAAATGATATGAATTATATTCTATTTTTGACTTATTTTTACAAGCAGAGCTATTTTTATTTCTATTACACCATTCATATTGACACACTTTACATGATTATCAAGTTTCCTGTCAATTACATAAATATTAAGTTAGCTATTATTGTTTATACATATAACGCACCTAACACTTATTAAAACCCGTCTACGATACCAACAACAATTAAATAAAATTTACCGCAAATCTACTAACCAAATATTATTTTAAACGAGATATTTCCTGGATTCGTAATACTGTTCCACAAATTTAGAAATATTCCAGAATAATAGTAACGTCACGATCGCAAAATCATTTGCCTCTACCAGGGACTTTCCGCTTTAATCTGAATGAGTCAGTGTTGTTTTACGCACGATTCTGTAGCAAAATACAGGTATGCGATATCACAAGAGAGAACAGGTTGAAAGCAAAAGCGAACGAGACTCGATTCAGCTCAAAACCATTGACACAGTTATCGTTTCAACCGGTTCGAAGTTGCTACTGTTTAATTAAGTAAGCTTCGACATTATATGACTCTGTCAATTATTTCTAGTTCTCAGTAACGATTTAAAAAAAAGTAAGAATTCTGATGAATACTAGGAAGCTACAGGTTTCCTACTCTCGGGACAACTTGTTGATCGTCGACCTCTTTTACGCAATCTCGGTCGCAGATGCTTTCGGAATAATGCACTTTTGATATTAACATACCTTTTTCAATGGTAATTCAAGATGGTTTTTGTTCTTCTTATCTAAATTAGCTAGGCGATAATTTAATAAATAAATAAAGTTTTCGTCTTGTTTTGTAGCATTATCATTATACTTAAGTGTGTTGAATTGCAAGGTCGTCATTTAAAAAATTCTTCAATATTGATAATTAATAAATAACCATATGAAATTTCTTATTTGTGTTGTCTTCTACATATAATACACACAATTTTTTGCTTCCATAGCTGTATATTTTTAAAGGACACTAATTTGTTTATAATGAATAAAAAGGAACATGAAAATAAATTGTTAATTATTCGTCGTAATTTGATACTACACGTACTAAGGAATCAAAAATGTAACTCTGAATTTTATTAGAAATGAGAAGATTATGAAAAATGAGGATGAAAGTAAAAGTATGACTACGTGTAACTTTAGTTGCAATTTTATAATACTTTTTTGGATCGTGGCTTATTCATAAATTAATAATCAAGCAATTTATATTGAATTTTATTCACAAAGATTGTCGAACATCAATGATCGACAACCAAAAATAATAAAACCTAGTGAGAACTATTAAGGAGATTTGGAATTATCGAAACATGTTCTTTCATTACATAAAATTTCAATTTGTCCACAAATATCATTTATTAAGATATTCGTCCTTATTATTTGGAGTGTTACAAATTAGTTAACATTAACAGGTTTTTAAATACTTTGGCATCTTAAATTATTAACAGTGGCAGTCATATATGTGTTTGTTGAAGAAAATGAAAAAGTTGGTACATAAATTTAATAAATGAAATGTCATTTACTAACAAAAAGGATACAAGACTTTGGTCAACCTAATACATCTGACATCTAATATATCGAAATATTAATAAGTAACATATCAGAAATGAAGAAAAAAACTGTATTTTTTTGTATTAATCAAATATTCTCACTTGAAGAAATCAATTTTATTAACTTAATGATACTATTTACGAAATAGACTTTTATAATTGTGAAGTGGCTATTTTTAAGAATTGATGATTCACAAATTTATTTTGTAATAATATTTTAATATATTTAAATTAACACAATTTAAAATTATAATATATCGAAAAGAGAATTGTATTCATTCTTATGAAAAACATAAAATTTAATAGTTAGTTGTAACCTTTAATATTTAAGAGAAAAATAAAAACATACGGTAGTACTTTTTCATGAGAGTGAATACACTAAAAATTAATACAGTACCAAAAAATTATTTTAGTCAAATAAAGATCAATATTGTATCCTTCCGTAATCACATTTTTGTTACATTTGTATTTTTGCCCATTATATTCTGTTATTCCTATTATAAATGGATGTATGCCCTTTCCTTTCTCACTAATAATAAATGTTATGTTTCTGAATATAATAACGAAAAAATTATTCATTTCAAACCTCTTTCTTGGCCAACATACAACGCTGAATAAATCTTAGTGCAGTAGATGGATACTTTTTTGATTGACTGTATATTTAATGAAATGATAGAGCACCCCTATCCAAAATTAAAATTAGGACTTTCAAAAGTATGGAGTTCCGTCTCGTTATATATGACCTTCGTTGTTCGTTCACTGACTCAGATGTAACGTATGTAACATTGCAATCGTTAACAGTGAAAGTCCAAACTGGTTGCACGAATAAATAAATTTCATGGATCAACCAAACTCAGTCCCGACCCGATACAGTTTTATAAGAGTGTGCGAGTTGACGAGGAAACAGCATAGACTTTGAAAGCGTTAATTCGATTTTACTCACTGAATGGCGCGTTGATTTTGAACTTGAAATCAAATTACAATTCGTCTTACCATCGCTCGCTTTGAATCTCCAAACGATATTACGCTGTTAGACTTTATTAAGCATTCGATCTCCGTTTCTACTTTGCGCTGATCTTAAATGTAACAGAAGACCTTTGTTATCAACTGTAATTTACTTTCCTATCTTCAACTTCATTTGATCTCACATCTTATGTTAAACTTTACTTAACTCATCAAGGCCAGAATAACCAAATTTTTTAACCACACACAAGTTTTTTTCTTAATAAAAATATTTGATCTTCTAACTAAATGTTTCTTTTCCGTCGGTGCTGGCGTTATTCGATGTGCATAACTTGGATGTTGCTTTAATGGTTTTTATCAATTTTTCAAAATGATTGGACGTTCAATAATCCAGACAATAATGGAATTACTGAGTCTAACTGAACATCTTACATGTGATATTATTATTTTTAACTGACTCTTTTCAGAGGCAAATAATGTTTGAAAACTGTTGTACTCAATGATTAGCAGCTCATATAATCGAGACTACTTACACTTCTCAAAAATAATAAATATTCTTGAAACATAAACAGACATGTTTGCAACGTGTTGATGTCAAAAACTTTTTGTAGTATTTTTATAAAAAAATATAAATATAAAAGTAATCTAACAAGTGGCATTGTAGACTAGAGAACTCTTAAGATGGTTGGATCAAAAACACACTTACTATTATTATTATGATATTTTTATAGCGTTAACTAAATATGCACATACCGCAATGGTATTTAAACACCAGTAAAATTTCGGAAACCTTTAGCGTAATAGGAGAAATATAATTACATTTGAAATTAATCATTTAACACTAATTGAAATAAATTTCACGTTATAAATTTTCTTAACCAACTAAAACATTATGGAAGGATATAATTTAAATAGCGCAAAAAATACGATAAACGATTTGGTGCACAATATCAAAAATAAAAGTTAGAAAATACACTTCTCATAAGCATACCGCATCGGATAATTAAAAGAAACAATATTTATTTTTCATACATTTCATTTTTCTTACACATTTTTCTTATTTTGTATCAATATTATATTAAATGTTTTGTAATCTATTATGAAAATTTCATATTAAAATTGCTTCATGCTTCATATGTACCAATCGTAACTTTTGAAGTGTATCACGATGCAATTACATAAACCAAATTTAATTCACCCTTCATCACAAATCAAATAATTTAATACGCTAACAATCTGTTTCACGATAACTAATCACCAAATGGAATAAACCCTGCGCCACAGAATTTGAAATCCTTTGCCGGCCAAACGTAATTTCCTATAATCAACACTAAAACTTGATCGATAAACTCGATTAGAACACCGGGTTAAACCGACGCAGAATTTATCAGCAATCCTAAAGGAATTTTCCGATAGAGATTTGATAGTAATTGCCGCCAACAGTAGCCCATCAAGAGGATAGTTAACAGGACAGCAACGCCAAACGAGCCAACAATTAACAAAGTCGTTAATCGCACCCGTTCGTTCCCGTATCGCTTCGCAAACTTTAATAAAACACGCCGTCGGACTTATCGATCTTCGACTTCGAGTCGAGATAGATCGAATCGCGAATTCAGAGACCAAGTGAGCGGATCTACCTGCGCAGTTCGCGATCACTCGGTGGTAACCGATGATAGCCGAACATTGCCGCTGGGTGGGGCGATATATAAAGCATGCTGATGTGACGAGACGACAATTTTACGCGGACATTCGCGGGTCGTGTGTCGTAGTCGTTCAATTCCGTTCATTCGCCAACCGGATCCACGTGGATACCACCACTGTCAATAGATAACAGCGCTACACAAATCTTGGTATGTTTGAAAAACATTTGATCATGATTTCAATTTGATGCACTATTCTTTTTTTTATTATTATTGAGGATTATGAGTAATTGTTCTTGGATAGTGCTTGTTTGATTGTTGACGAAAAAGTGAATAAGATAGATCGTTATATTCGAACATAATAGAACATGAGCGTTTGGAAATAGTTACTTTTGAAGTGAAACTTTTATGGGCGCGAATCGGAGCGAGAGCGTGTTGCAACTAACCATTATACACGAGTGTCATGAAAATTGCAGACTCTTTAAGCAACTTCCTAATTTTCGAATGTCTACATTTCTAAATTCCCAAATTGTTAAAAATTTATCTCCACAAATGTTCAAACTTGTAAAAATTTATATTCTAAATTTATTAGCTTTTTAATTTCTGATGTATTGAATTTCTAAAATTTTGTGTTTTCGAATAACTAAAATGCTAAATTGCTAAATTACTATATTTCTAAATTTCCAAGTGTCTGAAACACCAAATCTCTCACCAAATCCTCGTATGTTTAAATTCTCTAATGTTTGGAATTTCAAATTTTGAAATTACCGAAAACCTAAATTTTCAAATCTTCAATTCTTTTCCTTTCCAAATTCCCAAATTTGGATCATCCAATTTTCTAATCTTCACGTTACAAATGTTTAAGTACCCAGAAGCATTTTTTTATTAATACAACATGTTCGTATGAAATTTTAATTATCGGATGTTAACACTACTTTCTTAGGTAAATCACTTTTTATTATAATCTAAATATTCGTCGTAAAAAAATTATTAATGGAAAAATAAATTCGATCTAATTTTATTAGCCACTGTAATTTGCTGCAACTATGTAAACGTGTTCTTCCGTATTGCTGTTAAATGCATGTTTCTTATAAATTTAAGTACAGCACACTGTTATACATAGAAATTTATACATTCCTTATGTACAAATATGTATTTTAGGAATACATCTTAGAAATGTATGTATTTATAAATACATATGTATTTATAAATGAAACGTATGTATTTTATAAATTATCTTACTGAAATCTGTTATTATATCTATTAACGATTACTTAGTAAAACAGTAAATAAAACACTCTTATCTGTTACATTTGAAAGCTTTCGCTCAATAGATTAATAGTTTATCGCTTTTAATAAAATGGCATTAATGTTTGACCATATATAAGGACGTAATTGTCATAGGCATATTTATTATATGTTAAATTCATTATTGTGTGTAATAAACTATTTTTACACATTTCTATTACTTCTTTAGATTATAAATTTAAATTTTATTATAAAATTAAATGTTAGCGTTATTCGATTGTTAAAGAAGTAACAGATAACACTAATTACAATTTTAGTACTTTTATGAAGTTTCTCATTAGGCCTTTACATATTTTTATCATTTCTTAAATTAAAAATATTAAGTGCAAACTTGATTTTTTTTAATTCGGAAATTGTAAAAAATTGGTAACTAATATATATGCATATAGATAGTTTTATAATGTCATTGATATTTATTAAAAACTTTAACAAGGAATTTTCATTTTACCACGGAAAATTCTTTGAATATCTAAGTATAAAAAGTGAAGTATCGCAAAGAGACATGAGCAATTTTTACTTTCTTTGAAATTTTTTTTGTATTCCATAAATTCTGTAACAAATATTATCTAATATGTTTACTTGAGGAACAATTACAGAAAGATAATACATTCTAATACAAGTAAATTTACAGCAATATCATTAGAAGAAATCTAGTAATTGAAAACTCTAATAAAGAAAACAAAATATTCTTTACATGTTGCATATTTTTTCTAATAATTCCAAAAGTGCTATTGAAACTGTGCTACAATTTAATCGATTGAAAATCAATGAAGAACACACGTGACAGAAATACGTGTGTAAGTGTATGCATTGATTGTATACCAATTAGAAACTAGTTTAAATATTGAAAAAATATCTAGATAAGGTAAATGTCTATAGAAAATGTAGAAGACTTGAATATTTATAACTTTGAGATAAACTATGTTGCGTAATAAACAAGTGCATTACTGAAGCTTGCAACGAATGATACGCGTTAATACGTATTCACATTAGTTTAAAGAGACTGTGATACGTTTTCTAGCTCTGCAAACGCAAAGCATTCCAAGGATAGGACTGTCCTTTCGCTCCTGTAGTCACCTATGCGATTAATCGAAGGATTCGTTTACCTTTAATCGATTTTGTTTGGTGTTTCGTTCGTGTAAAAAGAAACATAATGTTTCTTTTATCTGATCAGATAAACGATTAATGGTTCCTATTTCGCATAGTTATCGCCCCATCAAAGAATTATACTGCTAGTAAAAATATTTTAATAAAATTTATACTACTTGAGATATTCGTTTTATTATTTTTAGCACTTTTACATTTTTAAATTTATTAACGTTTAAATTTTAATACCATTTAATATATTGTTAAATTTATTTTTCCTGCAACAAATTTGCTGTATATTTGACCTGAAATTAAAAAGAAAGAATGCTTATCTTAATCAAAATAATCCTTCTTATCTTTAATTGTCTTTCATGATTTACAAATCAGTATATAAACTGTTTTGTTAAGAGATTGCGTATGTCTAAAATCGTTTGGTACAAAGCTATTACTTTACTTCAAATAATGACTTATAAAATCCAATAATTAAACAATCGATCAACCTGAGCTGAAGATTTGTAGAACCACTATTCTTTTATGTATTAAAATGGTTTAAAAATACAGATCAACGTTATTTGTTCGTTTATTTTACCCTGAAATTCAGAATGAGGAAAAGTAGATCATATTTAATGAAGAATTAGAACGAGATGTGTAATCAGAGGTTTTGAGAAACTGTTGATTTTTGAAATTGTTTGTTTTTGTACCGAGTTTCAGGAGCATGGGTTAAGTGAAATAAATTCGGGGTAATTAGGAATTGAAAGGTAGAAGAGTTGAGTAATTCTTGTTGGGTAACTTGTGGAAGTACGTAAGATCCTGATTTTTATGTAAGAACATAATAATTACGACCTTGCTTGAGCCTGGCAAGAATTACAGAAAATGAATAATCGGTCATGGTCGATTTAGACCAAATGTTACAAAGATATTATGACACGTCTTGAATCACCAAAGTATATCCAATTCACGTACACGATTTAATTCTTATCCTCTACCGTTTCAGTTATTTTTGTAATAATTTTGTAGTAATTTAATAGAATAGCTAATTTAACTTTTGTAAAAATGTTCTAGTTACTTTTAAAAGGAAAGTAATAATCATTCATGGTCGATTTAGACCAATTATAAATATTGTAATGATATGATTTCTCTTGAATCGTTCAAAAATGTGTAATTCACATGCATGAATTAATTTTTCTTCACTCATATTTTTTGCAATTTAAAAATCGGTTAAATTAATTTTAGTAAGAATGTCAATAAACTTATTATACGAAAAGGAAAAGTATAATCAAATCAGATTCACAAACATTAATTTTTATTTGATCTTTATTAATTCATTCATTAATTAAATTTTATTTGATTTTTACTTCGAATAAAGTAGTACGTTAATATAGCTTTAGTAAAGATATTTAATTGTTTCGAATTAATTGCAAATAATGTTTTCCAAAATTAAGGAATAATATAAAGTTTGATTATACACGAATCGAAATTTCAAGATACAAATATTTGAACAAAATTAGCAATTATTTTACCACCAATCATTCAATATTATCTAAAATACCATAATTATCTTTTCGATCTTAGCATTCAGAGCAACCAGCGTTAAATGTATATTTAGTTTAAAAATATCATGTAATTGACAATGCAGATAAATATAAGGCGGCGATTAATAATACTAACATATATCTCCGTTACTACTAGTGATAGAAGAAAATAATTAAGAAATAAATTATTTATCTCAAAGGGACATCTTAGATACTGTGATATGATGTATACTTTTCAAGATCATATTTTTCGAGAGTTCAAGACGATACATTTTTTTAATTAAAGTGCATAAAAAGAAAATATCATCTATTAAACGATTCCATATAAAAAAAGTTTTGAGATGCCATACAAAAAGAATGTACAATTCAAAAAATATTTTAATTTTTTTTTGCTTAAAACACATCAATGGCCTTAAAATCTTGAAAAAATATAACCTTGAAGGCAACTATTTGACATGACAGTATGTTTTAATAAAATAAATAATTCATTACTTAAGTATGTTTTCATATCATTAATACTATTATAGACACTGGAAAATCCCATATAATCATTTCTAATTTTGACAAAAGTTAACATTTAAATAATTTAAGATTTTGAATGTTACTCTAAAATTTATAGAAAACTTTTCTAATTAGTAACTTTATTCTCAATAAATCTAGTAAATAATTTTTATGATATTTTTTATTGGATGAGAGTTTATATGTTGACAAAACATGTAATGCTTTATATTATTAATATAATATGAAATTATTTATAATTCATAATAGAAAATAGTTTCTAATAAAATAACTGACAGCTCTATAAATAATTGTGGCATTCCAAGTAATAAAATAAGACGATTGAAATTCCCCATTGCGACAAATTTAGTTCTCATTGTACCAATATTATTTCAATTGAAAAAGCTGGAAACAATCTCTGTAACAACAATGTGACGGCGATGAAGTTAATTTTATCGAAATATTTACGTGACAGTTTTATTGAAATCAAAGTAAAGATCTAATATTATCTGTTGAGTTACAGTCTACGTAAGAAGTTGTAAGAGGAAACATATTTTCCTTGTATTTACGCAGTTTGGACATCATCGAAGACATCTTTTTTTTCAAACGAAAGCAAATTAATTATACGTGAAAGTCCCACACGTTCACCTCTGCATCAGGAGCTCAATGAACTCAAATGGTTAACGTATTGAAATGAATCTGGTTGCATTTCCAGTTCTGAGAGTCTTTTGACGTCATCTCTGTGATCACGGGAGTTCCCAGCGGGGATTTCTGCTTTCTTTGACG